AGAGAGAGAGAGAGAGAGAGAGAGAGAGAGAGAGAGAGAGAGAGAGAACACATTCTACTGGGAAGACGCAGGCCAGGTGCGGTGACGTTCAGAAACCAGGCAGTCTCAGAAGTTTCCTGTACACACTCCCTTCAAGTATCTGGTGCATTTCCAGAGAACACCTGGAGGTGCTTTGCAGGGCACAGCTGTGCCCAATCTGGTTGGCTTCTTCATAGACACTAACCTCTAATCATGTCAAACATGGCATAGCTACGCCCAAGCAACCAACTTCATGCCACACATGCGGGGCCGTGCGTGAGAACCCGTTGTCTTGGGAAACTCTGCATTCTCTCCTTCCTGTTACCAGTAGTTCTGAGCACTAGTTGACCCCATTGGACGGAAAGATACCTAAGTTGACGAGTGTGAAAATAGAGGACTGGAATCAAGTGTTGGTAGTTTTCCACTTCTGTTTGTGCGCTAATGTTTGATAGACTAACGTAAAGCATGAATTCAGGATAAAATGTTTCAGTAGCTAAGTTCTGGTGCTAGGTTAACTCAGTCAGTAGAACTTTTAACTCCATGGTGGTGGGTTCGAGCCTTAGGATGGGTGCATTGCCTCCCCCAACCCCCACCGACTGTGATCGGTATGCGGGTTTCAATTGCTCAGCATTCTAGCAATTAACAAGGAAACCTGCTCAAACGCTACAAAAAGTGCTAGCATTTGGATTTTAAAAAAAAGTAGATTTATTATTGATGATAGAAAAATGGCATTTTAGAAAACCTGTGGTACAGAAGATTATGAACATTTGATATGTTTTTTTTTAAGATTTCCTACACCCACTGTGGCCCTTTATGTTCCATTTTGCTATTACAATATATTAAATCTTTAAAAAAAAGAAAAAAGAAAAAGAAAAAGATTAGGATGAAGGAAGTGAGGCAGGAAAGGGTCCAAGAAGGACAGCTCTGCTGTGGGCTGGAGTGTAAAGTCCTGGTGCTGGGGCCTGTGCTGCTGACTGGGGCTTTGCTGGCTCAGCCTCTGGGTAGAAAATTCCTGCATCCTGAGCAGTACAGGGCATGTTTAATGAAGGAGTCGTGCGGCAGATACCTAGAATCACCTATAACCATTGGTTGGTTCCATTGCCATTTGTAGTTGAGTATAATGGAGTATGACAAATCTCCATAATGAAGGGCCTATCTAAAACAAAAGGAATTAATGGGTAGTCAAGAAATAGGAAATTATTTTTTGTACAGAGCTATTTCAGTCCATACTTGGACTTAAAGAAAGTAGAGGAAATGAAAGGCTCTCAGAGGTCTACAGTGGCTTTGCTTTTCTAAACTATTAGAGGGATAAATTATAAGGTGTTTTTATTGGCTCTAAAGCATGAAGCCTCTAGCAGTCGGAAAACAGACTTTTTTTTTTTTTTTTTTTTTTTTTGCTTTTGCCACTAAAGCAGTGAGCTTTTAGGAAGGAGAGCAGAGAGAATGCAATATCTAATATGTGTAGTGTATGGTAGCAGTTGCTGGGGATAAACTAAATTTCTGAGAAGTTTTCAGTAATTACCTCAGGAACACTTCTGAGGTAGGAAGAAGTAAAATTAAGGATCATTTCCGTTGGTGCTGGGCACCATTTTGCCTCTCTCTGTCATCTACTCTCTACCTCCCATTCCAGATCCCCATCTTGTGGCTGTTCAGAGCTGCTCTTGCTGAGCTAAGGGATCAGCTGAGCTCCCAAAGGACATAGCCCTCCTGTGATGTAAACAGAGACTCCACAGCCCTCATCACTGCAACCCTTTGGGCAATGTGCAGAAGCTTAAAGAAGATACGACTGGGATCCTAACATCACATGATTCTATTGTGAGCAACCCTGACCCTTCATGCCCTGTGGTTTTACATTGGTTTAGTTTTGTTTAAAATATTGATTTCTACAGCTATACAGGGAATGCATGCGCTTTTGGGTAGGATCTTTCAACAATAAAAAAGGTAGAGTGTTCTAAACATCCATTTTCACTGCACGCATCAGCTTCCAACAACTTCCAACAAGCCCATGTTTTCTGCTCCTCCTTTGTGTATTTACAGTTACGTGCATGTAGGATTTCGAAGAGAAAGTTTTCTGGTACTTAGTGGTAGTGAATAGTGTTTTGACTTACGTTTCCTTGACTGCTGGTGAGGTTGGGGACTCTTTCGTGTTCGTTGGCCATTTGTTTTACTTCCATAAATGCTTGTGAACATTAATTGTTAATATGCTTAAAGTGGTTACATTTTTCATATTTATTTTAGGAACTATGTAAAATAGAAATCGGTCCTTTCATTAATTGTTAAATTGCACAGTCAGCTGTCAAAGACTCTATGTTTCCCTTCCACTTCTAAAACACCATCTTTAAAATAAATTCCTGTGTACAGACTGAGATGGAAAATACTTTTTGTTCTGTTGGTTAATTTATTCAAGAACACTTTTGCCTAGTTTTATATCCCCCAAATGTCCTCCTATGATCATCTCGAAACTTTCTATCATTTCATTTATCTTTAAATACTTTATGTCAGTATCCTTGAGTGACTGTGGGGTATTAGTTTGTTTTCTGGACTTTGATAGGAAAAATACTACATAAAATTAAATGTGAAGGGCCCTTTTGCTTCTATTTTCTGCGATATAAATAGAATTGGTATTGATTTTTTAATACATTTTAACTCTATGACAGTATGACTAACTCAATCTAGAAATTATTTTTGATGGTTATTAACATTTGTAAACTCGGCCCCATCTGTCCAGCTCCCTCTGCCAGCAGATTAGTGCATCTCTCCGTTCTCATCAGGGAGGTTTCTCTTTACAGCAGACGATGGTTAGTTATTCCAGAGACCCACAACTGGTCACAGGGCAGAGGATAAGAGCTGGTGGGATGCTCACCTCTAAACGGGATAGTTATCTTAGGTTCCCATTCTCTTTCACCTCATAGAAGAAGGGCTGGAAAGACTATAGGAGTCAGAAGTTGTAGACAGACATTGGCAGAAAATCAGTATTTGCTGGGCTTATCAGCACCATTGTATACATAAATGCCCAATGACTATGACTGCTCACACAAGATCTGCCCCAAATCAATGCATCCCAGATCTCATGCTGGATATGGAGAGGCTTAGGAAGTCCTACTTTTAACAGAGAAGCTGTTATCAACTGATGGCTTCTGGAGAAGGGAGCATCAGTTTTCTTTAGGTTTGTGGCTCCTAAGAGGCTTCATTGGGTTGGGAGGGGAAAATGGTGCGAGACATAAAATTGGAGGAGAGGGATAGGGTTAGATACATTATGTATTTGAAATTCTCAAACAAAACTTTTACTTTTCTTAATAGTTGTAAGAATTTTTAAATTACTTAATGTTATCAGAGGTGGGGAGTTGTGTTTAATGAATTACTCCATTTCATTCAAGTTGTCAAGATCAAGTGGCCCTTCCTATTTCTTTCATGCCTGAATAGGATATAGTGCCCTTACCCTTATTATTTTTAATCTACTTGTTTTTCTAAGAACTTAAATTGCATCATTAGGACACTTGTAATTTGTCTTATTTTTTAAAGTGTAACTATCAGCTTCCCTTGTAAAACTGCTTTCACTGTGTACTGGAGGTTTAGCCTTCAGTTGGCTTCAGGAATTTTTAAGTTTCTCACTGATTTCTTCAAGGTCCAGTTGTGTTGAATTTATATATTTTTGTAGTTCCTTGCTATTGATTTTTTAGTTTTTTCCCATTGTGGTAGAAATACAAAAAATTATTTCAAAATTTTACTTTGGAAGAGACTTGCTTTATTTAAAATGTGGCCTGCTGAGAAGAATGTGTATTGTGTTGAGAGGGAAAAGTTCTGTAGATGTCTGTTAAGTTGATCTAAGAACATCATTGAATTCTAATGTTCCTTTTGTTTGTTTTGACCTAGATGATCTATTTATTGGTGAGGTGAGTACTGAAGTTGCTATTTTGTTGTGCTTTACATACGGTGTTTCTTAGAAAATTAGTTATGTCAGTGAATGCTTAGGATTGCGATGTCCTCTTAATCAGCATGAAGTGACCCTGTTTACTACATCTGATTAATTTAGCCTTGAAATCTACTTTATCACACCCAAATATAGCTACACCTGCTTGCTTTCGACTTCAGTTTCCTCAAAATGGCTTTTTCTCTTTCTTTCACCCCAACTAAGACTGTTTTTGTCAGTGGGGTGCAGTTCTTCCAGGCAAACGTACTTAGAGTGATCTCATGCTTGTTTTCTCATTTTTTTATTAGTAGAAACAATCATTTTGAACAGATTAAAGTTACGTTACATATCAAACAAGGATTGAAGCTGAATGTAATGTGATGTCATGGCTGTAAGGTGACCACTTAGGTTACAGGTGAACTGCAGGCCAGCCTGAACTTCAGAGCATGAACAAATGAACAACGAAAATAAGAACTCAAAAGAAATCAAATAACAACAACACAACACAATGGGATTGAAGTGCTGGGTATCAAAGTGTAATAGGCGCTCTGCTCACAGCTGGAGCTTTTATCTAAGACCTGAGTAATACCAGTGCTGTCCCTGCTGTGTTTGTTTGTTTGTTTTTGTAGGGAGTATGATTGCTGAGACATAAACCCTGGGCCTCGCACATGCTAAGCAAGCTGCGACCTTGTATTTAAATTACCTTAGTAACCCAGAAGTGATTGGCTCACCCATTTTGGTTCTTAGTTAAAATTCGGCAGTAACATGATGGTGCCGGTTAAGTCCATTGTAGATCATTCTGATGCGGTTTTATTTTCAGTTATGCCCAGACAGATTTCAGCCACATCTTTCATTTGTCTTAGTTCAACCGGCCCTTCTCTGGAGAAGCTTTTGCTGGGTTAATTCTGGGGTAGAGCAGCTGGTGAAGCCAGAGTCATGTGCCATTCGTTTCTTCTTATGCTGTTATTTACTGTCCTTTGCCTCTATTATTTGCTTTTCCTGATTTTAAAAGTCATATGTGCTCCAACACATGGACCATATTAGGGTTCAATAGATATGTTGACTGCTTAAATATTTGTGGAAACGTTGCCATAAGGTTGTATCTGCCATTGGATTGCATTATACAAGATCATGTGATGGGGGATAGAAGGCATTTGTCCTGAGCCCCCTGTGTGAAACTGGCAGGCTGCTGCATCATGGGCTTCTTACATCATCTCATGCCTGGTGGCTTCCTCAGCCACCTCACATCAGCTCATACATGTTGACTTCCCCAACTATCTCACACCATCTCATACCTAGTGGCTCCCTCAGTCACCTCATATCAAGTCGTACATATAGGATATCTCCAGCCACCTCCTTTTTCTTGCCCTTTCCTCAGCATTCCATGCTTCATGGCCTTAAGATTTGGTAATAGGTCTCTTCTCCAGCTCTGTCCATTTAGCGCAAAAAAAAAAAAAGTCATCAGCCCATGAAGCCAATCTTGCTGTTAATGGAACATGGAGTCCTCCACCTCATCAATTGCAGGGTGACAAGAAGTCCCATCCAATATACCCTGTCCAGTGAATACTTGGATGCCTTTCTTCGAGGAACACCCTGAGGCTGTCAACACCTTGGTAGGAGCTAGTTTTGTCTAGGATCCCTTGTCTCTTATTAGAAAGGAATAAGATGTGCCCTGGTCTGAGATGGGTCTGGGTACAACTTGGACTCTGACCCACCGATTGGCCGTGCTCATCTCTTCTGTAGGACTCACAGAGAAGTGAAAATTGACGCTGCTCTTCAGAACTAAGCTCCAATGCTGGGGAAGACAATCCTGATGAGACGGCTCCTAGAGCGTGAATATTGGGGAAGCCATAATCCTAGGCTCAAAGCTGCCTTTCCATGTGTGACATGAGACATGTGGCACCTGCAAGTCAGACCTCTTCCTAGGACTCAGGAAAAGCGGTGCATCCACCTTAAATGTGACAGTGTGGAGAAAATGAACTGATGGGTAACGAGAGCCTTGCAGTCAGCTGTGGGGTGTGCTCATGTGCTTCCAGAGTTAGATGACCCCCCAACTGGGTCCTAGAAAACAAGAAAGATGCTTAATTTCAAGGAACAAACATTAAAGCCAGCAGGAGGTAGTCCTGTCCCAAATTTATATATATATATATATATATGTATATATATATATATATATCATTGAAGAACATAAACTTCCTTATGTTAGAGAGAAAGGATTTTAAAGAAGAAAAGTATTGTCTCTCATGGATATCAAGAACTCTGCACCCTGGAAGTGGCACGGTTCTTCAGCAGATAGTGGTAGATGCCATATGCAAAGAAACTTGTGCCAAGGATGACAATTGAGGCGGACAAGGTGGCGAGGAGGTAGATGGACATTTTCTTCTCCATTGAGGACCTGGTGAGGCAGCGGTAGGGGCCAGGACAGCTGCTGGTGCTGCAGTGGGTGCTGCCATGACTCACCAGGGGACGTTGTTGAAACAAGAGGAGGAATAAAAATGTGCCCTGGGAGGTGGCCTGCAGCAGGAAGTACAGGAGGTACAGAAGCAGAAGCATCTTCTCCTGGTGGAAGTTCAGGATCGATCTCTTCCAGGAGGGTTTCAGCTTCTTCCCCGGCACCATTGAGCCTTCCTCTAAGTCCGTTGGCACGGACATCATGGGCACCATGAACTTCATCACCTGGACCTCCTTCTGCCGGAGCCGAGCCATGAAGACTTCCACAAAACATAAGAGTGCTATGAACATGAAGTAGAAGAAGTACCACGTTCCCAAGACAGGAACGGAAAACCTTTTCTCGAAACACTTAATCAGACAGGGCAGAGTGATGTTTCCACTGCAGATGAAATCTTCCTTGATGTGGACCCAGGGCATGTGGGCCACATACAACACCATGCCATACAAGACAACCAGCCCAAACCACAGCTGTCGGCCAACGTAGTAGCCAGATTCCCTGCTGACCACCGAGTGCAACTTAGGGATCAGTCGGACAATCACCGCTGCTGCCATTTTTCAGACTCTCGGGGCACCTAAGGAATTGACGAGCAGTACGTTGATGGCACCCTAGGAAGGAAACAAAGTAAAGAGAAGTTGTTTAGAAAGCGAGAGCCCTTGCCAGACATCCTAAGCCCATTTACAAAGCCTGCTCAGCTTCCAGATCAGCAGCAATTTCTGTCTCTACAGCTTCTTCTCTGAGGCACGATGCCATTGCCTCCCAGTGATGCGTGACTCCCGCCTCTTCAATTCAGCCTAGAGTGGAGAGCGCCACTTTTGGCCACCACTCCATCTAACAGATCTTGCCTCTTCTTGCTAGATAATGTATAAGGTGGTCAAAATGAGGAAACCAACCTTTTCTATGGTCACAAAGTCCAAGCGTTATGTCTCTAAGGACTCTTGTTACATTTTATAAATGGGGGACAGAAGGGACAAATCAATTCAAAGATTCGCACTATGTCTGACTATTCTAGAAATCCCATGGAGAACTCCATACTTTTGCCAGGGAATTTCCCGGGACAAAAGGAAAGAGCGGTAGCATTGTTCCTTGTGCTGCTTGCTGACAAACACATGGTGCATGGGACTTCTCTTTTTCCCAGGTTGTGGTTGCCATCCCAGCGCTTCCTAGTGATAGGAATATTGACTGCAGATCCAGCAAGCTCTGGGCTGCTGTGCTATATCGCTTCAGTAAGGTGCTATATATTCCTCAAGTGGTTAATTTGGGTAATTGCCAGTGTTTCTTCCCTCCCCCTTCCCATGTATATATCACCTGGGCCCACTAGATGCTAAGTGAGCACTGTAATGTTGAGCTTCACCCTCCGCTTTCATTTTTATTTTGAGAAAGGATCTCACGGTGCAGCTCAGGCTGGTCTCCTGCTCTCCATCCTCCTGCCTCAGGACCTGGAGTGCTGTGCTTTGGGGCATATGCCACCACAACGTGATCTCTTTTACGTCTATTCTTTATGTCTATCAATGACCAGTCATTCGAAGTTTAGAGTAGTTAATGAATGTCAGTGTCGGAAAGCATACGTAATGCAAAAGCTATCATTTGAATCAACTAAAGTGTGTAGTTCTGTGGCATTAAGAACATAAGCTTCTACCTTGTCCATCTCCAGAACTTTTCTTATCTACAGTCACAACTATATACTCATTAAATTCTGCCCTTTCCACCACCTCCTTACCCCCCAGCTCGACTACTCTAGGGTATCCATGAACACAAATAGTTCACAAGGCAGACTTTTTTTTTTCTGACTCACTTATTTCCCTTAGTGTGATGTCTTCATTCATTCATGCTGAAGCACTTGTCAGAACCTTCCCTCATTTAAGAGTCCCTAAGGGAGAAATGGCACAGACAGGCAGTGATGAACTCATTATTACCTTCAGGTTTTAGACCAACCTTATAAGAGGACCAGAAGTGTTCTTGTTTTATGAAAAACAAAACTGAGATTGAATCTCTGTTTCAGGTTTATTTTTGTTTTTTGTTGGTTGGTTGGTTGGTTGTTTTTTTGAGACAGGGTTTCCCTGTGTATCTTTGGCTATCCTGGAACGCCCTCTGTAGACCAGGCTGGCCTCGAATTCATCGAGATCATCCTGCCTGTGCCACCTGAGTGCTGGGATTAAAGGTGCGCACCACCACAACGGACATTAAAGGTGTACCCCACCGCGAAGGGCTCAGGCTTATTTTGGAGGGCTGGCTCAGCAGTTAAGAGCCCTGGCTGCTGTTGTAGAGAACCTGGGTTAGGCTCCCAGTGCGGGCGCAGCAGCTCAAAAACATCTGTAGCTCTAGTTTCAGGGGACCCCAGGGCCTCTTTTGGGTTGCTTGGTCACCAGGCACACTCGCGACACACATACATACACGCTGGCAAACATTCACCCACTTAAAATAAAACTGAACAACTCATGCCCGCCACCCCAAACCCTTACTTCTAAAATCTAATTGGCAGTTAGATAGCAATCTTTTGGGGCCACAGCTCCAGGTTCGCTGTCCCTCTTGGCCGGATGAAGACCAGCGCTGTTCTGGGAACCTGTCCCCACTGCCCAACCGCCTTGGAACCTCTCTAGAACGGCCAATGGGGTGTACCATCTGCCATCTGTGCCCTTTGGGCTCTGTGGGAATGACCGTGCAAAAGGGCTCACCTTGGGCAGCAAGGCGGAGGCAGGACGAGGGGAGGGACCCAGATTCCTCTCATCCTCCCACTTAGCCCACCCTGCTAGGTGAACACGTCTAGCACTGGATCCACAAAAGAGAAAGCTCAACGTGGAACCTTGTTGGTTCCGTATGGCACCGGAGTCCGTGCCACAGTGCTGCACCCCAAGGGACCCCGCTGGCGCTTGTGTGGCTGCTCCTGCTTTTTAGAGTTCACCTGGCCTCTGGTCGCACTCCCCTGCGAACTTTGAACTTCTCAGCTTTCTTCTTCTCCCAGGAGGTGAGACTTGGAGGCACCCCAGATACAGAGGCGCTGTTGACTGCAGAGGGGGCTTGGTGGGGATTCTGAAGGAACAAGCTTTGGGGACCTTGGCGCACATGGTAGGCTGAGTCTTTCTGACCAGTTTAGAGAATGGGGGTGGGGGAGTAGGAAAGGCACTGAGCCTGAGTTCTGGGCTCTCCCTCTTGGCCCAGTCATAGCTGATTGTGGAAGTCTCCGTGTAGAATACTTGGTAACAGTTAGGGCATGCTGTCTCGAGGGGGCAGGTGCTACCTACGCTAACCGCTGGACAACTCAAGCGCCCTGATGCCAGCCTAGTTCTTTATTCTCTCGGGGTTCTGTGAGCTCTGGTAGTTCACTTGATTGTTTGTCAAATGTAAGAATGCCCGCCTAGTGTCTGACGTGTTTTTGATACAGAAGTAAAAGGCTGTCTTCACTTCCAAAGTGGGGGAAAAGAAAAAACAGCAACAAAACAAAAACAAACAAACAAACAACAAAACTAAACCAAAGCACTGTTATCACCTGAAAGGGGATAAGAGATAGATTATTCTGGAGCTAGATATGAGGGACTATGACCAAGTAAAAAGATTTAGTTTTCCGCAAGTTCCATGTTCCAACATAGAAACAGTTCCATGAAGTTTCTATAGTAACAGAACAACAATAGATCATGAACCAGCACATTTTCAAATGCACTGATACCAACACAAGGTAGGTAGTTTACAACAAAGTGGAATGACCTCTGTTAAAGGTTCCAGATGCTGTCTGGTGACCTTCTTAGCCTTAGGGTTGATGGGCTACCGTTAGGGATCTTTTCATATATTCCAAAAGAAGGTACATAATCATTTCAAGAATGTTGAGTCCCACGCTGAGGTGTGCTATAAACAGCTATGGAGGGGGCAAGTTAGCCTCAGATATTAGTAAGGTCTGGATTCACAGCATTCCAACATCTCTATACTCCATAAAGTTCTAATTAGTCCATCGGCCTTTCTAGAATGTTCAGTGTAGGTGCAGCTTTCTGTCTCTCCAGCAGAAGAGACCCGCTCCTGGAACTAGTTTTGCTCCTGTGGCTACTCAGGCTTTGTGACAGCAAGCACAATGCTTGACTAGGCAAAGCGCAGATGCTACTTCCAAAAAAAAAAAAGCAACAACAACATATAATTGTTTTCTGAGTCTAGTTTCCTCCTGCCCCCAACCTGATGGCTGTGGAGCACAGGTACTACTGTCACTCCCCTCTTTATCCACTAGAGGGAGCTAGATACCCTCCTGCCTTAGCACGGACTCACCAGAAGACTTGATTGGTCAAAGTAGGGTCAGATGCCAGGGAGGCCCCGGGTCACAGTTGCTTGGGACTCCTCCCTGGGCATTTATTTGTAGGATAGCTCTTAGAGAAAGGAGTTGGCGCCTCATCAGTTGGACAAGTATACTCCAAAAAGTTCATGACAAATTTTGTTATTCACAAAGACCTATGAACCTATAATGGGCTTGGAATGGGGGACAGGAAAGGGCAGATTGAGCTGGATGGAGAAGGAAGCCATGAGGCTCAGGCTCTGCTCCTCAGCTCATTCTTTCCCACAACAGGAAGCTGAATTTTCTTTTCTTTTCTTTTCTTCTCTTCTCTTCTCTTCTCTTCTCTTCTCTTCTCTTCTCTTCTCTTCTCTTCTCTCCTCTCCTCTCCTCTCCTCTCCTCTCCTCCCCTCCCCTCCC